ATTCCTAGGTTATTATGCTCACATGCTTGGACAGGACTTTTAAAAAATTAGAATTTCTTGTGAATTTACACTTGTGATTACATAAATGTAAAAAAAAAATTACCAGGTCTTTTAGCATTTAAGGGCTGTATTTCAGCATGGCAATTCTTTAGAAAAAAATAGTTTTGTGTACTTACATACTGATGTTACTTCTTTGCTTATCTGATCTTTAAATTAGGATTTAAAATTTTAATCAGTGTTTAAAGACCATCATGGTAGGAAATATGAGAACAGCAGACAGTGGGCATAGGTATTTTTGGCTGAGGCCACTGGAGGAGTTTTACATTCCTAACAAAACTACCCTGCTCACAGATGAGAGTTGCCTTTTAGCTAATAAGCCTGTACATCCTTGTAACTTCTGCACCTATAAAAGTAAGGTAATTAAATACCTTAAAAAAATGCTTCTTGAAAAAATGGATGATTAGGCTCTCTTGATGCACTTAAATGATCAAAATGGGTATATTATCCATTATCAAGAACAACTTCCCTGCAGATCATCATTCAGAACCTAGCTAACAACTAAAATATTTAAGTTATAGAATGTTACGAACACTGTTCATCATCCTGACAAACAAGTGCTAAGCAAGAGTAAAATATGTGCAGAAAAACAAAGTTAGAATGAAGTTTTTAGAAGTACCTCTTTAGCTTTGCTCAGATTTCCCCCTCCCTAGCCCCCACCGCCACCCCCACCCCCAGGCCCCCAGCCCCAAAGTGCCACCTTGTGGAAAATACTGGAATAAAAGAAGAAAGCCCATGTCTTAGGACAGTGTGAATTTTAAAATAGAGGTTTCCAAGAAAAATCATCTCACTTTCCTACCATATAACCTTCAAACTGCTGTAACAATATTTAAATAGATGATTGAAAAAAGCCTGTATTAGTTTTCAAGAGGCTCTTGTTTTCTTCTTGACAGCCAGAGCACCAGTATCAAGGAAACATAAATATGTTGATGGAAGTTCATTCATTTATCTCAACTCCCTGGGAATGCTAAGAAACAAAACATTTTGAAGAGCTGATTCATACGTCATTAAAACAAACAAACAAACTGAGGAAAAAAAAACATTTAAAAAATCAGACCCCTCCTCTTTCTACATTTCTGTTGTTTACAAAGGTCAGAAGATAGAAAAGGCCAAAGGAATATTGTGGCTTATTTTCTGAAAAAGTACAAGTCAGAAATGCTTGAGATATAGGTATGTAACACAACTAGGTTGAAAATTGCATTAATAAGAAATGAAAATGCTATTTTCGTATGCTTTTGAAGAGAACACCACTACTAATTACCTGGGGACTTCTATTGCGTGATAGGCTTTTGCAGTCTCAGTAAGTTTTTCTACTGTGGAAACATGTAGCTATGTTCCATATCATACATCTGAATGTATCAAGTGCATATGATCAAGGATTTGGGTTTTACCAGTTTTCAAAAAATCTTGGTGGCACAGGAAATATGTGCCTTTTTAAAATTTATTATTATTATTATTTACAGTGAACATTCTTAGGCTTGCATAACAAGCGTTAGTTTCACATGGCTGCTTCTTCCCACGAAGTAAGGAGTATGGTAGTTTGCTCAGGTCACCCTTTGAAATGGTAACTGCTTGGAAAGCCTTTTCCATAAAACATGTTTTGGAACGTTATCAACTTCCTAGTTGCCGGATGACTTTAATAGAAATTCTTACAATATATTTGCTAATAAATATTTATCCTTCAAAATATATCTAACTTTGAAACTATCCTTCTTTGAATACCTTCATTTTCTCTAGAATTTCCTCTATCCATTGTCCATTATTTTATGCTTTTTAAAGATTTAGAAATCATGCTACCATCTTTATTTTTTAAAATAAAGACACTGTTTTTATGTGTCACAATGTAAAACATGCATTCTTTTGAATTCTGTCAATACCTAAGAACTTATAATGTCTCAACATTTACTTTCCAAGGTGAATATTCTATAGTTACTGTACTAACACAATTAAGTAATTACAGCAGCTTATTAACTTTTAATATTACTCTTTCCTAGACCTGACTATGCAACAAAAGCCTGCTTTTGCAAAATGTGAGACACTCTCTTCTGCGCTTATCATAAAAATAGCCAAGTTGTCACTTAAAAGCAATTATTTGGAAAGAAGAATTTTAATATGTTTGTGATATTAGGAAGCTTACATGATTTTAATTTCCATAATGGCATGAGGACTGCCATTACTGACCTTAAGAGGCATATAGTTAAAAGCTCAATTTAAATACATAATTTAAGATTCAAAATATTTGGTACTATTTGGTTGTTTTTTTTCCCCCCCATCAAGATGGACAGTACCGTGTTCTGGAGTCAAGTGATAAATTTCTATTGAGAGGTGTACATTTTCTTTAAGATATTAACATCCCGTGCATTCTGAAATTTTCATTTTTACTTAAAACTAAATGGCTGAGATTCTATTCTTAGGTAAATATTTTGAACTATTTTTATTTTGGTAAGACACCTTGGGCTAAATGAAAAGTATGCCATTCCTAGTGTGTGATTCCTGAGAGAAAATCATGAGAATACAGAGGGATGAAATGGCTCCGACGTCTTGTTTAAAACAGGTTCTCTGTTTCTTGGGTTCTTATCTACTTTCAAGGAGAGACAAAGTGGGAGGTGCCAATGCACTGGGTATTGTGTTTTTAAGTTTGTAAGATTAGGGCTTTATTACCTTTGCCACATGATAGCTTATGATGCTGAAATGGACAGGTTTCTCTCTTATTCTTAAAGGGGATTGTTACAACTTCACGATGCACTATGGTTCCCACAATGCCTGGGCCCTAAGAGAACAATTATCATATAGAAACTATCAGGCACATTCTAGCACCAGCCCTCAAATGTGAATATAAATGTGATTTTGAATCTGACACCGTATTTTTATTGATATAAGCTGCTTCAGTATATCCCTGGGGCAGTATGACTTTTTTAGCTGACCACTGCTTGGCTTTTGGCAAAGATGTTTGAAACCATGTGTCACAGAAGAATAAGCTGTATTCAGTAAATTCCTATGCTGCTATATGCTTCAAAGTGCCCTCATGGGAAGGGTGCTCGTGTGGCATCTGGATTTCAGAACTGGTGAGCCTGGATGTAAAAGACATAAAACGAGGGTAATTACTCAACTGCAAGAACCACACAGATGGACGAGCTGGGGTCAGAGAGGCCAGATACCCTCTCCTTCTGCCTCTCAGGGGATAATTTGCCAAGCATCTAATGAATCTCATGCCAAAATGTTTGTGCTTTAAGTTTTCTTCATAAACACTACTGAGAAATGAACCAAAAGTATATGCTAGAAATAAAGTGGAGCTCTCTACTTGTTTAGAATTCCCAAGAATGCTGAAAAATTCCAGTTCAGAACGGCTGCATTTTTTTTGAGAGAACTTATGAAAACCTGAAAAAAGCAGAAACTCAACTTATGTTCACTCTAGCCATGGACACTAACCAGAAAGCGCATGATGAAATCAGTACTTATATTGAGTTTTAAAATTGAATTTCTAGGGCCCAGCAAAACATGTCTTCAAAGGAAAGGCAGAAATCCCTTTTCCAGGGGAGACATTGCCCCGACTGCTGTGGATTCATTATATCTCAAGCATTTACAGTGATGACAAAACATAAGCAATATTGTCAACAAGGAAGAAAGCATCAAACATTCTTGTGGCCCATCTTCTCATTCATATCTAGCTTTAGACCAATTTTCCTGCTCTTCAAGTTACTGAATTAGAAAAATGTTAAACAGTATACATATTAAAAAAAGAGTAATTTCCAACCCAAAAAGCTTTCAAGGAGAAAAGTCTTAATTTTTCCCTTATTCATCATGGTAGTATAGAATATTAAGCTGTGAAGAATTCAGTAAGGCTAGACAATATATAAACATCAACTGGAACATTTTCTACTGAGTGAAGCAATGTTCATTCTTTGACAACCCTAACTCTAAACATAGCCTATCTGTTGCATGTACTCAAAACATGAGTCAGAGAGCAAAGACAGCTAAACTTCCAAAAGGATACTTCATCTCTGTGTCTTCGGGTTACTTGAGCTAACTGAGCACTAACCACACATAAGGCAGAGATGATGCCATGAAATATAAAGAACGGTAGAGAAAATGGCGAGAGAAAAAGTAAAGCTGTTCACAATGCCCAGGTCAGGCTGGCTCTGCACGGAGAGGGAGTATGCACAGGCACTAGAAATAAGCACAGCCTGGGAGATGGAGAAAAGATCATTTTATAGGGTAAATATATACGTCTAAAAAAATAGTTAAAGACATTCTCTCCGATTCTACACGGACATCTTCTAAAAAAACTGTAAAACACTAAGTAACAGTTTAAGGCAATCTATGTGCTGGTGATAGAGAAGAGCCAATCCTCCACTCACTGCCTAGGGAACAACAACAAATGCTGGGTGGGAAGATCACACTGGAGTGAGAGCCTAGGGGACCCTGTTAGGGCTGAAAAATTGGATCCATTAAGCCACAATCTGAATCTAACTATTTACAAAAGGTTCACTGAAAGAAAGCAAGCAGGAGGTGCATGGGAACGGCTTAAACAATCTGTTATTAGTTATGTAATGGTAGTAATATATACTAGAGGCCCTAGGAGATAAGATGGAAACTCTGCAAACAAGGCAGTGCATGGCAGAAAAAGTACAGTGTAATAGGGAGAACTTAAATGGTATTCCTGTCTCGTCAGAGAAAGCTATTCTCTGAGCCAAAACAGGAAACAGTTTCTGACAAATTCCTAAAATCAAAAAAACAAAATAAAGTAACAACAGAATCCAAAAAGGAAACATTTCAAATCAGGAAATAAAGGCTTTCTCTAATTGTTTTTTTTTTTTTTTTTTTTTTTTTTTTTTTTTTTTGACCATTTTACCTATTTGAGGTACACTCCCTAAATCTATAGCAAGTAAGAAAAAGCTTATAGGGTGTTTTTCAAAAGAAATAACAAAGCATATAATACAGGTTAAAATGGGCTTACAGTGAGTAATTTTCAGCTTTTATCAAGAGTAAATAGAATGTATGCTTTAAAAAACAGGTCTCTTAAAAGATACTAGCATTTTTTTTCCTTTTGTTGTGTGTATAAAACTTCAGCTAGATAGTGAATGTTTTACTTCTAACAAATTTACTGTTTTTGGCCATAAAAGAAATTCTGAGGACATAGGTTCAACTGTGTAATTTGAGAAGCCCATTCTGGTAAATCACCTTTAGTCAATAGACACCTGTTATTTATAGGTCACTTTGAGTCTTTAAAATTCAATTATTCTTGTTGTTTACAGAAAGTAACACTTTAAGAAATCAAGAATCTCACGCACACACATACGCACGCATGCATGCACATGCACACGCGCGTGCACACTCTCACTCAAAAGTACCAAAGCAGGCTCAGGCAGCTGCAGAGAGATTACATCATAACTCAGCTGTGCCTGGATTGCTCACTCCACACTGGCAGCATTCAAGATTAGAAAAATGAAATGGCAGCACAATTGGTCAGCAGCTTCTCTTCTGGAATTTTTCCAGGTTCTTGAAACAAACAAACAAACAGACAAACAAACAAACAAACGAATGAACATAAAGCTGCAATCGCTCTTGCATTGATTTCAAAACAGTAAACTAGGCGGTTTCCATGGAGAAGCAGAGCCCGTCCAGACGACGGCAACTAGAAGGTCCCCAGCCAGTGATCCTCAGTGGCTCTGCGGGGCTTACTCAGGGGGGGGCCCATCAGCCCCTAGGGGTGTTCTCCCGGTAATCAGCTCAAGATGGCCGTCGGGACCTCAGGCTGTATTCATCTCTGAGCTGTTCTGGCTGGGAGGCAGACGGGAATCCAGATTCTCCTTGCACCTCTCCAGATCATGGAAGTAGGGGTGAGACAGGGCACTGTAGGCAGATATTCTTTTGGCCGGATTAAAGGTTAGGCACTTCTGTGATAAAGAAAAAAAATAACTGACATAAAACATGTCCATTTAAATAATGTGTTTACACAGTTATACATTTGTTCACTGCCATGAATTAAGTGTGTCTAGAATCAGAATGAGTATCTACTTCATGGGACACTAAATAAAATGTAGACAGTAGCCATCTTTTTTTTTTTAAATTTTTTTTTTCAACGTTTATTTATTTTGGGGACAGAGAGAGACAGAGCATGAACGGGGGAGGGGCAGAGAGAGAGGGAGACACAGAATCGGAAACAGGCTCCAGGCTCCGAGCCATCAGCCCAGAGCCTGACGCGGGGCTCGAACTCACGGACCGCGAGATCGTGACCTGGCTGAAGTCGGACGCTCAACCGACTGCGCCACCCAGGCGCCCCGACAGTAGCCATCTTATATATGTCCTCAATGTATAAACTGCCCTTCAGGAAAAAGCAATAGCTTTTGGGTTGCCTGTGTACTTTTACCTCCCCAGGCTTTCTCTTCTACCTATCCCAGGTTCTTTAAAAGATATTATTAGTATTATCATAGTATGTATATAATTTTATTTAGGTAGTGATTTTTCTTTCTCTAAGTTTAATTAATTTTGAGATAGAGGGAGCACAAGAAGAGGAGGGGCAAACAGAGAGGGGGACAGAGGACCCAAAGCGGGCTCTGTGCTGACAGCAGAGAGCCCGATGAGGGGGCGACCTGAGCCAATGTTGGACGCTTAACTGACTGAGCCACCCAGGAACCCCTAGGTAGTGATTTTTCTTTTTTTTAAATTTTTTTTCAACGTTTTTTATTTATTTTTGGGACAGAGAGAGACAGAGCATGAACGGGGGAGGGGCAGAGAGAGAGGGAGACACAGAATCGGAAACAGGCTCCAGGCTCCGAGCCATCAGCCCAGAGCCTGACGCGGGGCTCGAACTCACGGACCGCGAGATCGTGACCTGGCTGAAGTCGGACGCTTAACCGACTGCGCCACCCAGGCGCCCCTAGGTAGTGATTTTTCTAATGCTAGAAAACTTAGTGCTGTAGTCAGAGATGTCACCCTAACTTTTTACTCTTCCCCAAGGTTTGTTGAGGAGTCAGGAATGGAATGGAGTTGTCTTGTTTAGGGGTAAGAGGGTAATTATTAAACTACAGTAACAATTTCTGACATATTTTTTTTTCAACGTTTATTTATTTTTGAGAGACTGAGAGAGACAGAGCATAAGTGGGGGAGGGGCAGAGAGAGAGGGAGACACAATCTGAAGCAGGCTCCAGGCTCGGAGCTGTCAGCACAGAGCCCGACGCGGGGCTCAAACTCACGAACTGGGAGATCATGACCTGAGCTTAAGTCGGATGCTTAACCAACTGAGCTACCCAGGTGCCCTTGTTTCTGACATATATCTAATATCAAAAGCAAAACAAAATAACAAGAAAACAAAAAAAGGAAATACATTTTAAAGCAGGAAATAAAGGTTTTCTCTATTAAGGAGGGCAAGTAAGGGCTAAAACCTAGGCCCAACTTACCCTGACCTGCTAGCAAGTTGTGCACTCTGGCCCAGGGCTGCACCATCCAGAGGAAATGATTCCTTCCTCTGGTGCACGTCTAGGTGCCTCATGGGCAGCAGCAATGTCCATTAGGTTCAGCTCTGGTACTAAACTCTATTCCAGGCTGTCAACTCAAGTGTAGGTAGAAGGTGAAAGGGTTGGCGGCAGGGGGAGGGGGAAGGTGAACCTCTGGGGCAGCAATCTCCATTCTCAAACTGACGATTCATAATCAATTAGACAGAATACTTCCCTAATCTTAGTTCCATTTCCACGCCAACCCCAGGTAATCCTGTTCTTCACATCCTCCACCTGTCCTTCCACCAACACCTCCAGAGTGACTAGCAGGTGGTAAGCACTAGTGGAGGATGAGTAAGACCCATCCATTGCCCAGGAACACACAAGTAGGAGAGAAACTCTACCAGCTTCTCCATCTTTGTGATGCAGTGCCCACTTAAGTGAGCTGGGTATCTGACACGTCTATGAATTTCAGTCCTCTATGTAATCTGAAGACTTAACATTATCATGGTTATGCTGACTTCCATTTAATCTGGGTTTTTGCCCTCAAGGACCTCAAAGTCTCCATCAGATCTTGACGATTAGGGACCCTTTAACACTCTGTTGAATGCTACTGACCTAGAAAAACACTCACAAATAGAAAACTCTATATATAATTCCAGGCAAATTTGGGTCCCCTGAAATCTTATTTATCCTGAACTCCCCACCAGTCCATGGATGCCAGTTTCTCATAGTGTCTCCTGAAAACCAAAGAACCAAAGGGCAAGCAGATGAGGGAGCTTGGTGGCAGAATGGTTCTACTGTCCCTAACAGCAATAAACATTGCGAGAAAAGCTTTGTATGGGCTGAATTCTGTAAGGACAGAAGAGCAGGGGCAGAACTCTTAAGCCTGGGTTCTCTCTTCCCAGAGTCTAGGAAGGAGAAAATTAGGTAGCGGCATTAGAGAAAGAAGCAGCCAATGTAATCCCTAGGACATAGGAAAGAAGAAAAAAAAAATGTTGTGGGAATATGTTCAAGATAGAGAGACATGTCCCTAGAGGACTGTCTCGGAGGAAGCCTGTCCCCACAGCTATCTTGATGGCTTAGAGCTGGGAAGACGGTGGAGAGAAGGAGAAATCCTTAGCCTAATGTGGAAGTGTGTGAGAATCTCCAGTTGGAAGTCTTAATCCTTTATGTTCTGCAGAACATAGAAATGGTGGCTAAGTTCTATCATTGCTCTACTTCAACAGAGCAATTTGGATGACTTGAGAATTAATCCAAAATCTTACGTAAGAATATTATTTCTCTAAGAAAATCTAATTTACTTGCCAAATAACTGTCTTATAAAATGAGCTTCTGGGATTTCTATTTAGTCAAGGGTTGAATACTATGATGGACTGGATCATTTTTCAGCACGTATCCTCCTTCTTCCCACCCTTCCTTCATGGGAGGAGTGTTCTTCCCTCTATTAGAGTTGGCCTTGACCACGTAACTTGCTTTGGCCAATGGAATGTGGACAGAAGTAGCAGGGTACCTCTTCCAAGCCTAGGCCTTCAGGGGCATCATGTGTTTCTGCTTGCCTTTCTGGGAGTATCATAACATCTGTTATGAGAAAAACAGGCCTTGGGGAGCCAAAGCCCCTCTTGTTCTGGGCCCTAGAATGAGACACATGGAGAAGACCTGTACTTGACCCATAGGCTGAAGCAGAGCTGTCTATCCATCTGCAGACCCATGAGCAAGAAATAAATGTTTACTGTTGTACGCTAGTGAGATTTCTGGGGGGTTGTTGGTTATGCAGCAAAAGTAGACTAATCCAAGGACCGTCCCCTCTGGCAGCCCCCACAAATATATACCTTAGGCCCTGAAAGCAGTTAGACACAGAAACTCTAAAACTTTTTTTGGCAAGAGAATAAGTACTCGGCCTCTCCAGTTAACCATGATGGAGGGGACAAAACTTGTAAAGATGGGTAGGTTCTGGTTGTTAAAAAATAATTTTTCCTCTGAATGGTCTTATTACTATGCCCAACTTACATATGTATGTGAGAGCATTTATAAATGTCAATGCATATATCCATTCATACATGGCTGAGCATTATATAGTCAGCCTTTATTTCAGCCTTTATTTCAGTGCCTATCTGGTACTGAACAGCCTGCTTTCTTCTGCATTATAATAGTTCTATCTTCTGTCCCTCTAGCATGAAACAGTGAGAGCTTTCAGGGGGTTCTAGGCTTTGAAGTCTTGGGCTATCCTTTCCCTGAATGCCCTCGGATTACTATGTTTTGTCCTTAAGTTGCTTCTAGTCCTGAGGTCACTGGATCTGCTTCTTATTCCCTTCCTTTGCTTTTTCTAATCTCTGTTGACACTCCTTGTCCACCCTCTTTCTTCTCCCTTTGGTAGTTTCTTTGTTCCTTTTTCTTCTTTGTTTCCTGCTACTTCTCTAGTCCAGCACTAGTGTGTGGTCTGACTTTGAAAGTCAGCACCACCAGTGGAGACACCAAATGAATGAGCATGTGGCACTGTCTGCTAGCTTTACATTTTAAGTTCCTTTTGGTGATTCCTAATGATGTTGAGAGACTCTGAGTTGTCTTTGGATGTCCCAGTAGCTGAAGAAGTGGAATACTTCACTACTAAAGTTGCTTATCATTGTGACTGACTGTCCAGAATCTTCTAAGAGAAGCATTTCACTCAGAGTTCTTGCTGAAAAGGAAAGCCTATGGTGGCCATATTTATAACACATCATCCCTCCCTCCCTCCTAGCACAGCTGACTGGACCAGGAATGCAGGCCCTAGGCAGCAACCCATATCATGGGTTGGCAAAAAGGTGAGGCGTGTCAGCCACATTCTTCCTTTCAGGAATCTGATGTAGGAAATACTAACAGAGGAAATGTTAGTGGTGGGGGTTAGAGCTGAAAGGATCCATGAGTTAGCTGAAATTCTGATAGTCAGGGGCCAGCCAAAGTTAAGGGGAGCAGACAGCACAACTGAAAAGAAACAATGAAGAGGAGAAAAGGCCTGCAGGGCAGAGAAAAGCAGAGTTGCTAAGAGCAGGTGATGCTCTTAGCAGGACTGGGAGAGCATTTACACTCTGGATGGCTTTTCACTTCCAGGCCACATGAAACATTCCATCAAACCTCCTTTTCTTAAGGTAATGCAAATACTTGTCTGTTAATTGAAACCAAGAAAAAATTTTCCCAAATAGTAGGTGAGCCAGCCAAGTGTGTATATATAGTGAGCTTTTGTATAGGAGAATATTCTCCCTTCTAATAAGAATTTGTTTCAAAGGATGTGGGCCAAAGTTGTCAGTGAGTGTCTTAGAAATAAACGGTGGGGAGGGAAAATAGCTGTCCTTCTCCATAATGTGGCAGTGGAGGGAACCGTAGAGTAAGCATCAGAAAATGAGCCCCCATCAGGTGAAGATGGGACTTAGGGCTTTCACTGGGAGAATCCGTGGCTCTGCAAACATGCCAATCAATGGCTGTGTCCATACAGAGCTAAGGTATAACATTTCTACTGAGACCTATAGACTCTTAGGTCTATATTTGAAATTTAGAATACACTGACAGAATGGGAGCACTAGCTCCTCCAGGTCTAGGAGTACTTTCTTGGCTAGCTATCATAGGTTGTTATTCAGTAGGTAAAGGAAACACTCATCAGTCACTGGGTTCTGAACACCAAGAGTAGCTCAACAGGTATACTCTCTACCTACTTTTCTGTCCTCCACATTAGGGAATTACATACAAGGCCAAATATTACGAGTCTGAATCTTAAGCTGAACACGAGTCCTTATTTTCAGTGAGGTATTTTATATGTGCATGGCACATTCAATACTTATTAGAAGCATATGTCTAGATGAATTTGAGAGGCTTCAAAGGCTGCATTCAAACGAACATTTAAAGATGGCAGATTGAAAGTTTGTGGATCAGACTCTTTCTCTTTCTCTTTCTATAGGAAATGAAGACATTCCAGAATCAAAAGCCACCAGCTGCTGCAGGTGTGGAAATGAAAGCTGCAGAGAGGTTGTGGCCTCGGCCCTGTGTGGTTGTGGCACATGATGCTGAACTGATGCTGTGCCCACCACCTAGCAGACCACCCAGTGGACAGAGCAAGGCTCTCATCCACCCAGTGCAGACCAACTCTGCACCGCATGAACTTACCAGGAGTAGGTCTTTGCCTTGTTCATCAATATCTGTTACGAACTTCTCAATTGGTTGAGGAGATTTTGAGTGAAAAGCCTGTCTGGGAAGGGCGACATCTCTGGGCCAGTCTTCTTCTCCTGGGAGTCCAATTACACTACAAAAGAACCACATGTGAACATAAACATTAGATGCTATGCTGAAGCTGTTTTCCTACCAAATTCTAGATGATGGTACAGTCTAAGAGGCAAGTATGGGGGACACAGAGTCCAGGAGCCCCTCAGTTATATTACTGGCGGGATTCTCATCTCTTTCTGTCCTATTGCAGTATGGTGATCACAGGGTGATCTCAGGGGAGAATTGTATAATTCACTGGGAAGAGATAAAAGATTACTCTGGTAGCAGATACCAAATATATAGGATGATGCAGAAATGGAAATTATTATATTACCAGTAAGTCCTGATGTACTGACAGAGTAGAACCTATATGTTCAAAGGAGGCTCATAAGAGCATATAATATTTCCTTTACACCTGAGAATGCTTTTTGTATTCTGATCAAACACTCATACTGACATGCTTTATGTTGCTCATCTAACATGATTAACACATAAATTTGGTTGCACTTTTGGTTAAAGAATAATTCTCCAAACAGTAATTATATACACTAGAATCAGACCAAAAAGAGGCTAAAAAGTATGTTAATCTTGTGCAACTATCAGGCACATGCTATTTTATAATTTAATTTCAAATTAATTGAATTAAATTTAGCTTATATATATTTTATATTACCAAACTATTTTATGGTATTCCAGAGTAAACAATAACGAAAGACAGTATCATTTATGTTTCTGCTGAAAATCATTCTGGAATCAGAAACATGGAGAGTGGATCCAATGATATAGAAACAGCATAGATATTGTGTGTCAACTATACTCAAATACAAAAAATAAATTTAAAAAAACAGCACAGGCTTTAGAAAAGGTAGACCTAGGTTCAAATTCTGCATCTACCACTTATTGCTAGGTAAGGACAAATTAGTGTCTTTCTTTACTGACATCGACAATTTAGGGGTGCCTGGGTGGCTCAGTTGGTTTACCGTCCGAGTCTTGATTCCGGCTCAGGTCATTATCTCCTGGTTGTGATACTGAGCCCTGCATCAGGCTTTGTACTAAGTGTGAAGCCTACTTAGGATTCTCTCTCTCCCTCTGCTCCTGCCCTGCTCAAGCATGCATGCTCTCTCTCTCTCTCTCTCTCTCTCTCTCAAAATAAACAAATAAAAGAAAAAAATGATAATTTACAGCAATAATTTATATAAAGTGCATAGCACAGTGCCTGATAAACAGTTCTTGTCAATATCAATACATTACCCATTATTATTATCATGAGAAGAAAATAATGCTATTAATCTAAAATGTGTGGGCAATGCATTGCTATCACGCTAAAAATATGAACTGCTTGAGTCCTACTGATATGTGACTTGAGGTTCTTCAGAAATATTGTCAGTGGCCTTATGCAACTTATACACTATAGAGATGTTATTTAAAGTTTATGTATAGATAGTAAGTAGGTTTGAACAAGGGAAGTTAAGGGGTGCAAGAAATTACATCTCACTTACAGACTCTGATTAACTCCGAACTAAAAGTTATAATTTAGTGGACAGAATATATAGCTTTCAAATTGACCAAACTATTTTTTTTTAAGATTTTATCTTTAAGTAATCTCTACACCCAACGTGGGTTCAAACTTACAACCCTGAGATCAAGAGGCACATGCTCTACTGACCGAGCCAGCCAGGTGCCCCATGACCAAATTACTTTAACTACAGTTAGAGATGGTGCTGGCCTGGGACTGAGGTCCTGAGATATGTTCTCCTGATTGGGTTTCCCAGGTTTTAGGAAGATGTGGTGGTGAAAATCACAGGCTCTCTATAAGGCTTTGTTCCTCCTTCCCTTATTTCAGCAGAGCCCAGATCACAGACCTCACCTGGGAAGAGCAAATACCCATACCATAATTGCACCTGTTACTGGGTGTCCGGGGAAAGACACTGTGTGCCTGTATCTGTTGGACATGCTGGGAAAGCCATGTTGTTGAGGCAAATAAAGACAGATTCTTGGACATATTTACCAGAACAAATGAATGGAAATGACTTGGGCAACATACAAATTTGCTTAATAGCAAGATCTAGAATAAGAGCAAAGAGAAAAAAGATATCACTATTGATTATTAAAGGACATCAATGTGTGTGTTTGGATAGAATGGAATATGCAGAGGAAGAAAAAAGAATACTTATTAAAAACTTTAAAAATTTTCTTCCTTTTATTTTCAGCTTTTTAGCCATTTGTATATCATTTTTTGCATATCATCACCAATCATCTAGAAATCAGTTATAATAATTCCTAGTAACAATTTAAAATCTTTTTATTTGCAGCTTTGAATATACTTATGTCGAAATAAATCTGGCGATATGGGCAGCTGACTGCCAAAAGCCCTTAAAGAAACAGCGTCTCTGTATGTATGTGTATATGTGGTGTATAATTACATGTATATATACATAGCTACCTATATAAATAACTTTCAAAAGTATTTTTAAATCTATCACCTCCTCTGATCTCATAACGACCTTCTGAGACATGTAGGTCAGTTATTACTTCCTTTTTATAGATGTGGAAACTAAGGACAGGAGTGAAATCAACTGCCAAAGTCACACACAGCGAGTTCAGCTCACTCGAGTGAACCCAGTTCTCCTTATTCCAAATCCAATATTTTGTTTCCATTTAACTATGACTCTGCTCCTAAAAATGCTCTAAAATGTCACGAGCTAAAAGCATTTAGTTTCACTTTCAAAGTACTTGTTGTTCTTTGAAAGTATAAATGTCTCCAAGTGCAGAAACATTTCTGCCCTTAAGAGAATGTGAATGTGGCTTTCCTCAAAAAAAATTTTTTTTCAGTTTAATATCCAGTATGAACTTTTATGGCCCATATATGAGTGTTGTGAAATTCTGATAGGTCCATTAACAAGTGCTTGCATCAAGTTTCAGTATTTGGACAGCTGAATATAAGCCTTAAAAGTTGACATTTGTACTGGAAAGACTGACAGAGCACAAAACCTATAAATGGCAGTGGGGACAGAAATAATTTCTCAAGTACTTTAGAAATGACACTAGGGTGCAGCATTATCCCTTTTCTTTATGCCAAAGTAACAAACGCAGAGTAAACAGAACATAATTTCAGTGAAACAATGCCAGAAACCAAGAAGTAATATCTGAAGGCACAACATATATAGAACTTTATGGCTTCTTTTTTGCTGGCAACCTAGGGTCTCAGGCCTTTGCCAAAAGTGGAACTGGCTTTCCACTGGAAGCAAGTCAAACATGGTTGTCAAAGGTTCTTTCCGGTCCATCTCAGTGGCTTCAGATACTAAGGGGCACTAATAGTGCTAACAAGTTTGCAGACCCTGGGGCTGGAGAGAACGCCCCGGTAGTGTCAGTAAGGGAAATGTGGTGACAGGTTTCAATGTCTGGCAAGCTGGCTTCGGTCAAGATCATTTTTCCTTTAAACAGAGTCACTGGTAGGTCTGACTTTCACAGTTCCTGCTTCAAGTTCCCACTGCACTGCACACAAAATACACAGTAAGGGGGAAGAATAGATGGACGGCTTATCACTGTATGATCAGAGAAGCTGACATTCAGAAGCAGGGAGAACATGAGTTTTGTCCTGAATCTGTCTACCTTATGGAGTGACAGTAATAGCAGTAATAGTCACTGTCTACGCCTAGTAGTAGTAGGAGGTGGCTGGGGGGGGGGG